TGGGGGGGGTGGAATTGTCTATCACTTGTGTCTTCGCTGTGTTCATCACGTCCCCCTTAGGGTGGGAATTTCAGAAGAAAAGCCAAGGCTGCCACCCAGTCCTTTTGGAACCTTGAGAAGGGTTGTGATCCTTAATGTTTCAACTCTTCAGAAGAAGTTTCAAAGAACATTAACATGTCCTGATTACAAGTGTACATTAACACACCTCGTTGATTAATAAACAGTACACGGAACTGCTGTAGGCCCCAGGTTACAGCTTGAAAAGTGTGAGATCAGAATGGTCCCTGGTTACCTCCACAGCTTCAGAGAGGATTCTTAAAGACCAATTTGCCATGTAACACTTTGTATTTAATTTCTATGGTGTTTCAAGGGGAAATAATGTCTGTATTTCAATAAATCCAGAGCTTACCCTTAAATTTGTGATTTCTGTCTTAGTCATTCTTCATTAAAAAATAGTACAGAATTCTTCCTTGGAGCTAAATTGTCTTGTAATTAAAGGTGTTCTGTGCTTGAGGTGAATTCGAGCAGAAGGTGCTAGTTTCAATTTCTAGAGGTGTCTGTGGAGGCAAACCAGGACTGGGGTAAGCTATGCTGCTGTTCTCTTGTAGTCAAAACAAGAGACTCGTGCTGAAATTGAAGTTTTATTGAAAATCATTTTTAAGCAGCAAGAAAGATAAAAATTCAAACGCTTTATTTCAAATAGAAACTAACTTACAACACAACAAATGAAGCAAATAAGTGATGGCAACATTGGCACTTAAACATCTTTTAAACCAAATATTCAACAAAAATATATGTCAGCTTCTAAGTACGTGATCTGCATGTGGCAATATATACAGCTGAGTGACAAATATAAAAAGAAATACTGTTCTGCTTAAGAACATGATAGTGAAGACTTTGGTAGCAAAAATGTCTTTGTTTTTAAAACTGTAGTCTTCAAAGATGCTTCCTTGAATTCAAAGACTAAAAATTAAACAGATCTATCCCGTTACACTGCTGGAGGTTACTGTCCATGGGTAGTTCACTGACTATTGATCCTCTCGGAGTCACACAGTGATAATCGGCGCTAACGCAAGGAAAAAAGGCAGAGTGGGAACAGCTGATTGTGCACAGGAAGACCACCAAACCCATTCCTCATTTTCACCGGCACTCCAGAGCCTACTGCTCTTCTTGCTCATTGCTGGTGTGAAGACGGATCTTTTGGACTTCGAGCTCTTCTGCGCTGACCATGGAGGGATCGATGGCAGCGTACCGGGTGCCGTGGAACTGCAGTAAATGGATCTGTCAGACATGGAAAACAACACTGAAACAGGTGTGGAAGCACAAGGTTCTGGTAAAAGAGAAACATTCCTTCCGAGTAATTTTTGTGAGGATGAAATCATGGCTCTGGAGGACGAGGGGACAGAGGAAACGGGCAAAAGCCAAGACCCCAGAGCCAAGCCTCCGTGAACGTGGCTGCGCCTGTATCGGGGACAGAGCTCAGGCAGGGTAAGAAACAAAAGCAAGCACAGACAAGGAGTTGGGTTTGAAGGCAGAGACTCACTTGGATATAGAGGTTGACCTCAGCGCTCCTGCAGAGGTACGGGAAGTTGCCTCCTGTTTTGAGGTGAGCTCTTCTGGCGTTAGGATAAAGCTTATACATTTCTTCTTTTGCTTCAGTCGAAAGCGCGCTTTGGTCAAACACCTGCGTAACAAGTCACAGCAGTTCGTTGTGAATCTGATCACATTCTCCTTAGTAAATCAGGCTGGATATATGCTGCTCCTAGAAGCAATTCCCAGCTTCTCTGTGGAACAGTGTTAATGAAACAGAACACGCAGAGAGGCACTGGGCACAGCTAGAAAGCCAACACTGACACGTAAACACGTGGCTGCGCTACTGCACAGGACATACAGTTCATAACTTAACACAGAAGAGGTACGGGGTTGCCCAGTGAGCAGAAGGCTTATCTAAATGCGAAGTTACATCCTGCAAATACTTATTATGTTGCTAACAGAATATCCAGGCCCCACCTGCCAAGGGGAGGAAAGGGTGTTTAAATAAAAGGACTACGTCGAGATTAACTTACATCCATAATGGTGACAGGGATGTCTCGAATTTTATGAGGTTCTACATAGGAGTTCTGGCAGTTGAGGGTAAGTCTTGAAGCGAGCTCGCTCTGGCCCAGACTCTCCAGCTTTCAGTAGAGAGAAACACTGATTAACAACCTACTTCACTGCAGGAAGTCAATGCAATATTAATACTACAGCCAAGGAGAAGTTCTGAAGGGAAACTCGACTGCACTTCAGATGAAGATTATCGATCCAACTTAGCATGACTCCGCAGGAGACAAATGCTTAAAACATGTTCCATCAGTTGCTCCTGCCTCCCGAGCACGGCCTACAGACATACCCCAGCACTTTCTCCTCTTCCATCCCAATTTCTTAACTTCCTCTCTTCTGATCTGCATAAATAGAACCGTAAGGTCACGGCATCAGTGAAAGTGCTGGGGCTGGGACATCCAGCACCCGCTAAGGATCCGTTCCTTGCTCCTCCCCTCTGGGTAAGGCAATGGAGAAAGCAGCAGAAATGGCTCCAACCTCCTGCTAAGCAAATCTTCCACAGAGATTGACATCACGGCCGTGAGAGTACGCAGCCACCTACCCTGTCCACCATGAAGTCGATCCCATCGGCCATTTCAGGATCTAGAGGACCGGACGCAAAATTCCCAAGGACGATTTTTTTCAGCATAAAAGCAGGCATCAGCCAAAAGCTAAAACAGAAACAAGACGTAACAATCTTCAAGCACCCAGGACTCCAACATCAAGATGCTCTGTGGCAAGCACTCCCTTCCCTTGCACTGACTTTGTGCTTTACCTTCAAATAAAGTCGTGAGGAAGCTTCAAGAGCACAGGGATGGAAAACCTTGCAGCTAGGTGCTTGAAATGCTCTGGGAAGCTGTTAGTCTTACGTTACAAAAGTATATTTTAAACACGGTGAATAACACTTTTCTCACGCTAAATGGTTTTGCTAGAAAACAGGGAGAGTTCCTAAATCTGACCACACGTCCCCAGAGGATCACAGGATGACTCGTCTGTCAAATTCCACACTCCCAATTGTGAAAACTTCCATTTTCCTTGTGGCATGGCTTTAAAAGTCACAAGTATTCCACCCCGCACCCCCCTCACCCAGCTGGGAACAGGCTAGACACCCGTCCAGCCAGAGCAGCGTCACTTTTCATTGCAAAAAAAAATACCGCCACAAATCCCATTGCTTGTCTCAGTCTTCCATACCTGTTTGCTGTCCATGTCTGATTGAAGATAGAAGTGTCACTAAAGGCATTACACAGGATCAGAGACTGAACTCTTGGAGATTTGTGTGTGTATTCAGCAAATTTTTGAGCCAGAAAGCCTCCCAGAGAAGCTCCAAAAAGGTGAACCTAATTCAAGGAAAAAAACCCCGATCGCGTTACACTTGTGAAATAAGCACAACATTCCATTGCAAAAGTCAGTCGTTCGAGTTTCACCCTGTCCTCGTAACCCATTTTCTAAAAGAATCAAACCCTTCTGTTCAGCTTCTGGTTTTACACGTGATACAAACATCATAACTACTGAAAAAAGGAAGTGTTTCCCAGTCACGGTTCAAATTTCTGTTTGCTCATCAAGCTTAAGAAAAACCCCAAGCATTTCACTTTGTCTTCAACAGCTATTCCAATCCAAGAGACTTTATTGTGGCATTTCGAACCACCCAAGTCAGGAAGGATAACTTCCACAGGATCTCATGAAAAACCAGTTAACCAATACAGTTCAACAGGCCTAGAACAGCAGCTGAATTTAGGCCAAGTGTGACAATTTTCAAGGGCATTCAAACCCAAACTTATTTCAAAAGTGAAATTGCACCACGGCCTCTTTATTTATACACTTGCTCTTATATGAGACTCTTTCAAACATCAGGTTTTTATCACAACTAGATATCCATCTCCCCATCTCGGAGCACTCACTTTATCCAGCTGAAGGTGGTCTAACAGTTTTCTGAATCCATCACAGAACTCGAGGTGATCCCAGTACACCGGATACTGCAACTGAAGTAAAAGGAAGTTAGAAAAAGCCGGTCTCGGGCCAGTACCCGTCAGCTTCTGCTTGAAACTCGTCCCCATTCTCACAGGAAAGGTTTCACAACAGCAACCTGCCTCTCCTGTATCACGAGGCTCACGCTCCTTAGCGGGGTCCCTACAGCCAGAGGGCGTGAACACTTCGCTTGCACACAAACACACAGCTGAAAGCACCGCAGAGCAAGTTGGCTGGGGAAAGTCCAGCATTGCTTCACTCCGTAAGCAGGGAGAGGAGAGGTTGGAAGGGTTTTTCGGTGATTCTGGAGCACGTAAAGGTACAGAAATCATTAACTGCTGCTACAGAAACAGCAGTACTCCTAAAGCTGTACTCTTTAGCAGAAATGTTGTACAAATCAATCATTTTGGTTCGGCTCAGGAGCTGAAAAGCCACCACACAGCATGCTGTCAGGATTTTAAGGACTGACTTAGCATTTGCAGCTCGGCAGGCTAAGCAGCAGGTTATCCACCATCCCCAAGGAAAACGTGGAGCCCTGAACTAACCCCTACATTTGCCTTGTGGCTAACAAAGATCCAGCCGGAGGCAAAAATGACTGTTCTCCAGGGCAATGAGGGAAAAACCAGACCGAGAAGTGAATGATGTTTACTCCAAGGCTTTGGGTAAATGCTGCTGTGAACACAGAGCAGATTTCAGCCTGGATCTGTGCACTGAATGCCCTGGAGTGCAACTTAGCATCAGGTTTTTGGTGGATTCCCTTGGCCAAAACTAAGAAGTTCATCATCCAACCTCTGATTAGAGCAACAAGCATGAGAACACTAACTTTGGCACAGGAATACTCACGGTGATAACTCTGTAGCCCCATCCAGTCAGCGCCAAAATCTGCTGGAAAAACACATCTGCAGTTCCACTTACAGGAGGGAGAAAGATGAGTGGGCACCGAATGCTCCTAGGTCCCGCATCATACAGCGACCAGACTTTACTGTCATCATCGTCTACTATTATCTGAAAGAGAGAGGCACCGGGGGGAGAAGAAACACACAAGACAAATGAGGTGCTTCAGCCAGCTTCCAGGGTGGCTTCTACAAAATCCCTGTCGTCTCGTAAATACGATAATACTCAAGACCCCTTTGAACAAGACCACGTTTTACTCCTCTTCACAACAGCTTTCTTCTCTAAGGCTGTTTACTAACTCGAGTTACCATGTTTGGGCGAGTACTGCTGGAAATAGAACCGCAGCCACGCGCTGTCAGACCAAATGCTTGTGCCCCGACACAAGCTGGACAACGCACACGGCACCGCGCGGAGTCAGCGGCAGCACAAAACGGGAGAGCTCGTCCTCCTGCGGACAGCTGCGAGGGCCGAAAGTAGTGAATTACGTTGGTTTTACAGTGCTGGACTGCCCTTCTGAAATTACACCCCGGAAAAAAATAAATCTCTTCTTTTCTGAGGAACTGCATTTAAGTAAATTCTGCGATGCTTTGGTCTGGGTTTCAACTCAAGAGGGCCTCAGTCAGAATGATGGTGCATCTGGATCTGAAAGTTCACCCAGAAATAAATCACGGGAACAGCAAGGCTGTGCCCCGAAGGATCGGGTTTATGCAACAGGCCACATGCAGAAAAGTATGCTTGGGAAAGAAGCCACCGTGCCATGACCCAGGAGAGAGACCCAGGAGAGACCCAGGAGAGACCCAGGAGAGACCCAGGAGAGACCCAGGAGAGACCCAGGAGAGACCCAGGACAGACCCAGGACAGACCCAGGACAGACCCAGGAAAGACCCAGGACAGACCCAGGACAGACCCAGGACAGACCCAGGACAGACCCAGGAGGTCAGTTCTAGGTACCGAGAGCACCAGCCGCAGGCTGGGAAAGCCAGCGCTGCCCCTGGGGGCAGCTTTCTAAACAGCCACCGACGTTTGCATTCACTGGACAAAAGCTGTGACGGGTCTGGATCCACGCAAGCCTCCTGAACTGAGCAGCTAACAGCAGAAATTATTGATCTGAAACAGTTCTAGCTGGCTGCCAGAAACAGAGCCGCACAGAACTCCCAAAGCAGCACTGCAAAGCTGACCTGGAAAGTAAAATGCTTCCATCATCTGGCAGCACCTCGGGAGCATCTGGGGGGCCCTAGGACACACGGCTGGCTGAAGCAGATTATTCACATGCGAGCTGCTGTCCTTAATGAGCAGCTCCTCATCCGCTGCCCATCTCAGCTAGAAGTCCTAGCACAATTAGTATCTCTAAAAGGCAAAGAATTAGGGAAAGGTCGTCTTTTCTAGCAGTGCCGGAGTCTGACTTGTTTTTACAGGGCCTGTTCTACCAGCAAACTGTTTTGTATATTCAGGGTGCTCTTTCAACCCTCCACAACCCAGCAAAAGCGCGCAGCTCATACCAGTTCGACAAGCACAAACCTCTGGGGAAAGCCTGCGTCACACAGGAGGAATTCATCTCCTCTGTATCGAGATGTTACAGCTTTTTGAACAGCAACATACAAGCACAATCCACTTTTCCATCACAGCAGTTTAAGCTTCTCAGGGAATCAGAGGAGAACAGCGTATCACGAATCAGATTTGCTTGACTAACAAATCTGCTTGTAATAAAGCCAGTATTTCAGGCTCTGGGTGCATGTGAGAAATCACATGATGCTGCTGTTTTGTAAAGTCTCCGTGAAAATAAAAGAAAGATTGCATACCAGAGCTTCCAGACCACTGAAACCATTTAAAAATAAACCTTGTATAAAAGCCCTCCCAACCCCCCAAAACCAACCCTTTGCCCAGAGCTCCAGGCTCTCAGCTGTTATTCCATCAGTAACGTTGGATCCGCTCCAGGCGGCTACTACAAAGCTTACCTTTAGGAATATTTCCAAAGGTGGACTGTGCTCCTTGAAATCACAAAACTCACGTTACTTCACATCAAGAGAGCCGAGGCTCAGAGATAACGTTGCTTTCCTTGAGCCCAGAGAATGAACCGATGGCTTTAGACAATCGTTCTATTTGATGTCTAGCCACATACCAGGTAGTTAAACTCCCGCTCCCAAACCAGGCTAAGCACTGCGTAGGCAGCCAGCAGCACGGTTAAGTGCCGATTTGGTAGTCACCAGCCCTTTTCTTGTTCTGGTTGATCAATCAAGGTCGCCTACAGTTTACATAAAGGGTAGAATCTGCACTGCATTGAAATAAGGGGCAGAACTTCCCCCTCGAGTTTAGCAGAGCCAGGGTGTCCCTTGCTGAAGACTTTTAGGAAGGACTTATCTAAGACAGCAAGCAGCATACGCAAATGGAGGCTCACCAGCAAAGCTAAAGACTCGGGTTAAAAAAAAAGTGTTATTTTCTGTGCTGTGCTTCCTATATCTGACAAGAGCAGGAAGGGCAATGGAGCTGTGAATTTCCTGCTCCTGTCAGGAGGAACAACTCAGGCCATTTCCAAACAAACAGCTCTGGCTCTGCTTCCTCAGGTCCGCCCGACAGCAGTAACGCACGCTCACCAGCAGTAGTGATGGCTGGTCACTCCTTCCTCTGCACTGCACACGCTTTGTCTATGCTTCTGGGGGAAAAATGCAAGTCAACGTATTCCTAAAGACTGCTTCAGAGATAAATTACATCTTCAAATTGTGCTTTTTCAATTTTTCTTCTTTCTCCAGAAACCAGGACTAGTCTGTTTATTTCTACCTTCTTCATCCCCCACATTCATCACTGTGGCATCGTTTCACTTTTGAGTAGGCTGACTCACTCAAGAGGGTAAGGTATTCCCTACTCTGAAGGTCACTAGGTCAACAGCAGCTTCAGTTTACACACGTCCCCATTTATGAAATCCCGAGCCGTCAGCAGCAGCTGAAGGCAGCAGCCCCTGGCAGCGAGCTGCGGCGTCACACAGTCCCCACGGCGGCAGCGACACCTTCCCTTGTAACCACAACCCCCAGCTCCTCTCCTTTACAGTACTGCATCCCACAAAGCAGTGCTGCCGAGCACCCACACATCTTTCCACTGAAATACTGTCTCCCAGCTTTGCTGACCCCTTGAGGCACTGCCTGGAGGCAACAGCACGGCACAAACAAACCCAGGTCTGGCACTGGCCAGAAACAGAAAGAAGCCGGACAGCCAGAGCCTAGGCAGAGCACGCACAGCCACCAGCAACGGATCTTTCTTATTTACAGAAGACACAAAGTGGCAAAAATGTATGAGAAACGCTGAATGGAAAATCCTACAGCCTTTTCATAAAGGTAATTTCTTAAGAGAAAGCTACAGACCTCTCAGTGGAAATAATGCTGGGCACAGTTAAGCATTGTTCCTTAGGCTTGGGGACACGTTCCCTTTCGAGCGGCCCAACCGCAACCAACTTGCTGTTGAAAGAGGTAATGCTGCTCTTGGCTCTGCTGCCAGCACCATCCCCGTGTTCCTGCAGATCAGGGAACTGAACCAGCTGGAAGGCAACTTAGCCCAGAACCAACCTACAAACCACCCCCAAGCTAGACAGGTCACTGACTCTGCTCGGCTCGTACGGTCCCACGAGCAACCGCGCTTGCAGGAGCAGCGGGCTGGGGTAGGCAAGAGCGTCCTTCGGGCTGGCAGGAGCCTGGGCTGGTGCTGCAGGTTAGTCTGCAACCACAGCCTCAGCATAGGCAGGCGTGAGGCGGGCCCGGGTCAGGAGCTACGTACCAGTAGTGCCCTCCAGGCCCTCTGCTGCTCGGCACAGAGAGCAGACGCTGGAGCACTGCACCCCTCAACCGCTCCC